CACTCCCCACCCCCCACCCAGGGTCCCGCGTCCCTCCGGGCCAGGCCAGCCAGGGCCCACTCCGCCCCACTCGGCGTGCTCATTGGCCGCCCGGGGCCTGCCCGCTCCATAAATACTTGGTCCTGGGGCAGGGAGCGTGGACAGCGCCGGGAGGAAACCGCAGCGCGCGCAGCATCTCTTCTCCCGCCCTCGACAGCTCCACCTCGCGGCTCCAGACCTGGAAGTCGGACTTGCAGACCCACAGGCGGACCCGCATCCCTTCCCTTCTTCTTTCAAAAAGACACCCGCCCTCGGCTGCCCAGCTCCAGCCCCCGCGGCCAGCCCTCGGCCGGCACCCGCGCCCTGGGGCTCCTGGACCGTGCGGCGTCGAGCATCCTCGCCGAGGTCCTTTCTGGCCTCTGTCCCTCTTCCGCCCCTCCCCCATCACACCTGCTGGTCCTCTTTGCCTCTCTTTCCCGGAATCGTTAAGCCCCCAACCCGGCCGGCGCCACTTTAGCAACTCGCCCTTGCGGGTCCCCGTGCGTCCCCACGCGTCAGGTCCCCCCCGCAGCCATGAGCTCGCCCATCAGCTCAAGCCGCTCCCTGGCCGCCTTCCTACAGCAGCTGTGCCGCCTCGGGCAGCCCCCCAGATCCGTGACATCCACGGGGTGCGCGCCCCCTCGGCCACGGGAGGTGCCCCTGTGCGCGCCAACGGAACGTGGCGAGGCGCAGCACGCGACCTCCCTGCCAGGCCCCACCAACTGGCCACTGCTGGGCAGCCTGCTGGAAATTCTCTGGAAAGGGGGGCTCAAGAAGCAGCACGACACGCTGGTAAATGCCTCGTCGTGCCCCAGTTCCCCTTCCCCTCCCTGCCTTTCTCTCCAAACCACCTCCCTCAGGCGCGGGGCCAGGGCGCACTGGGCGTGCTCGGCTGTCCGAGCAGCGGCGGTCCCCGGGAGCGAGGAGGGACGAGGGAGAAGCGCAACGGGACCGCAAGGGATGCGCGCTGACTCCTCGCCGCGCCCGGCCCGCTGCAGGCGGAGTACCACAAAAAGTACGGCAAGATTTTCCGCCTGAAGTTGGGTGCCTTTGACTCGGTGCACCTGGGCTCGCCGTGCCTGCTGGAAGCGCTGCACCGCACCGAGAGCGCGTACCCCCAGCGGCTGGAGATCAAACCCTGGAAGGCCTACCGCGACTACCGCCAGGAGGGCTACGGGCTGCTGATCCTGTGAGTCCCGGCGGCAGGATGGGGGCCGGCGGCTGGGCCTGATGGGTTTAGAAAGAGGCCCCCTGGGGTTTGGCTGTCAACGCGAAAGCTCTACCCAGTGCAGTCTCAAACTTGCACAAAGAGTGGTTTGAGGGACAGCTGTGCTGCGCCCCCAACACCTGCGTTCTCTCCCGCAACGGGGCGGGACCATGCCCTTCCCGTCCGAAAAATGCCAAAAAGAGCCTTAGACAAATTGTGGGGTTCAGATAATTGGGCAGAAAGAGGTTCTGAAGTCATCGTGTCAGACAAACGAGTTCTACAAACAAAATTATCCCTTAAAATTCCCTGGAACCTTCCCCCCTCCCCCACTTAGAAGCTCAAAAGCCAGAAATGAACTTCCTTTGCTTCTGACCGTGACCTCTCCTTCTGGAGAAGAGTGGAAAGTTAAGACCTAGTGCACTTGAAAGGTGGGATGAGGAGCAGTGTCGAGGCTGCACTTCAGATAAATGCTATGAACAGATGTGATTCCTCTGCTTTGTAATTGTCAGCATTTCACAAGTTAGCACTTCTTTTACCCCCAGTTTGGAATGCCTGATAGTTGTATTTGTCAGGATGTAATTATTGGAATTAAAAGCCATAGTAACAACACGTGGTGCATCCCAGGCTGTGGGGTCAGCTACGTGGCAAGTGCAAAGGGCATCTGACCGCAAAAGGGTTTTGACCACTCCAGGGGGTCTCTGGACTGTGGTTTGATTTGGAGGCAACGGCAAAACTCTAAAACTGAGGTGTTTTGTGAATGTGACTTTCAACCCAAACCACTGGGTTGAAAGAAGATGAGATTTTTCCCCATGCAGATCTGGGTTTCTGGTGAGGGAGGTGCTCACGTGCCCACTCTCACTGCTGGGGATGGAGCCATGTGACCTGCCAGCTCAAACCCAGCACCAACACTTCCACGGCCCTGAACCCAAATGATCTGGACGTCACCTTTCTGGTGCTTTCTCTGGCTGGGAGGAAAGGTGCTGTCCCATCCTAGGGCCACACCAGCCCCAGATATTCCAATGCTAATTGTCTCTGGAAATTTCTTGGCACGCTTCTCAGGGTTTATTTGATGACATCATTCATGCCGTTAAAGAGCTGGAGGGATCTTTTCTTTTCAGTTTGTTCTAAATATCTTTCTGCTTCTCTCCCAGGGAAGGGAAAGACTGGCAGAGGGTCCGAAGTGCCTTTCAAAAAAAACTAATGAAACCAGTCGAAATCATGAAGCTGGACAACAAAATCAATGAGGTCTGCCGGCCAGGGCCAGCTCTCCCGGGTCGGCTGGGGGTGGGGTAGGGGTGCTCCTAGATATGGCTACGAAGCGCAGAGGGCAAAGCGGGCACTTCGGGTGATGCGGGGCGCTTCGCTTTGTCCTCATTCTTCTCCATGCCCTCCTCCCCCCAATCCCTCCCTCTTCCCTCCTTCACCCTCTTTTAAAGCAATATCACAATCAGGGAGCTGTTACCAGCAAACGTTTGCTATTCTACAGTCTTAGATTTGAATATTAGCCTTCTACCCCCGCCCCTCCAGCTGTGTAACCTGACGATCCCCATTAACTTCCCTGAGCCTCAGTTTCCCAATCGATAAAAGAGGAGTGAAAATTCCCACTCCATGGGTTTACTGTGAGGATTGAACGAGATGATGAGCGTGACCTTCCCGAGCAGTGGCATGTGAGCTGGGTTGTGTGGGATGAGTAGCAGTCTGCAAGCCAGAGAAGGTGGAGAAAGGCATCCAGCCTGCGGAGGCTATGAAGGCCTGACATGGCACGGCATGAAGAGGGAACAGTACACTCAGAAGTGGGCTTTCTCTGAAATGATGCTGGATGGAAAGCAGGTCTTGACAAATGCTTTTCGTGCATTTGCTAAGGTATTTAGACATTATCCTTTAGCCGACAGGGGGC